GCCATTAACTCATTTTTTTCGAAAAGCTCTTCAGCTTCCCTTTAAACTCGTCAGTTCGTGAAGTATCTTCAACTGGTCAGCGCGTGAATAATGGTTTGAGCTGACGCACGGGGCGGGGGGGGGGGGGGGGGAACAGAGAGTGTCCACTTTGTGGGCACTCCCTGTTTCCTGTGTTTCCCTCTTGCCCTTCTAATATTTTCTTCTTCACAGATTGAAGGTACAGGTGCTTCTTCTAGTTTTTGACTGCGGGGACAAGGTACCCGCTCTTGGTTGTTAATCAGCGACCGAGGCTGATGTTTACGAGTACATTTTTCTCCTCAGCGTGCACCTGTGTCCTTCACTTGCATACTCATCTACAAGTCTGGCTGACTGACCAGAGTCTACTTTTGCTGTTATGGATGTGGAACACGGAATACATATAAAGACCCCCGAATCGTGGCGGGCATATAGTCATGGGTGAAGTGACGAGACGGCTTCGGTGAAGAAACTAAAGGTTTAATAAAGGCTAACTTGTGCCAAAACAGAAAGTTAAGAAAACAGGTGTCGTAAGCGAGCGACGATGTCGGCGAAGAGGCAGAATCCGGCGCTAGCGTAAGACTGACTGCGCTTTGCCACGTGCGCAGCACCTTTTGTACACGTGTGAGCTTGTAGAACAATCGGCGTAGAAGGTTCGGCGCGTAGGACATTCTAATTTTGAATCAGCCCCAACACGGTTCTCGAATTTACCAGAACATCACAATACTGTGTCAACAAAAAATGAAAGCCGCTTACAACTCCCTGTAACTCCGAATTAGAGCGCAGCTCTTGAGGAGGAGGAGGGAAGGGGACTGGGGGGTGGTTAAACTAACCAGGGGGGGGTCACGTGACCTTGGGGGTCACGTGACCCCCAATGTCGATGATGTCATCACTGACGTCACTGATGACGTCATCAGTGACGATGACGATGCGGGTACCGATGACGTCATTAGTGACGTCACTGAAGACTTCACCAGTGATGATGACGATGACGATGCGAATGTCGGTGACGTCATCAGTGACGTCGCTGATGACGTCATCAGTGATGATGACGATGACGATGCGGCTGCCGGTGACGACATCAGTGACGTCACTGATGACGTCATCAGTGATGATGACGATGACAATGCGGATGTCGGTAACGTCATCAGTGATGATGGCGATGCGGATGCCGGTGACGTCATCAGTGATGATGACGATGACGATGTGGATGCCGGTGACGTCATCAGTGATGACGATGACGATGTGGATGCCGGTGACGTCATCCGTGAGGATGACGATGACGATGTGGATGCCGGTGACGTCATCCGTGATGATGACGATGACGATGTGGATGCCGGCGACGTCATCAGTGATGATGACGATGACGATGCGGATGCCGGTGACGTCATCAGTGATGATGACGATGACGATGTGGATGCCGGTGACGTCATCAGTGATGATGACGATGACGATGTGGATTCCGGTGACGTCATCAGTGATGATGACGATGACGATGCGGATGCCGGTGACGTCATCAGTGATGATGACGATGACGATGTGGATGCCGGTGACGTCATCAGTGATGATGACGATGACGATGTGGATGCCGGTGACGTCATCAGTGATGATGACGATGACGATGTGGATGCCGGTGACGTCATCAGTGACGATGACGTCATCGGGGGGTCACGCGACATCGGCGGGGGTCACGTGACCTCGAGGAGGTGGTCACGTGACCTCGAGGAGGGGGTCACGTGACCTCAGTGGAGTCACGTGACTTCGGGGGGTCACGTGACCCCCCCACGAGGTCATGTGACCCCGGTGGGGGGCTCGCGCGGTGCATTATGGGACATTTCCCATGATGCACCGCGCGGTTACGCCGACGGCGACGCCGCTGAAGCCGGAAACGGGCCCCTAAGAGCTGCGCTCTAAAATGTGTAGCCGCGGCCAGGCATCGAACCTCGGCTTTTTGCGTGGAAGGCAAGCGCGATAACCGTTAATCCACGACCGCGCTGCCTCCGTGGACAGCTGCGCGCGCGGCGATATCATGACCTAATTGCGGAATGCGTCATGAGCCGAGCCTGCCGTCGAACCAAAGCGCGGCAAGTGAAATGTCTAAAATTCATGAGACCCGCTTGTTCCTAATATATTTAGGCACTCATTATGTTGCATATTCCGAATTATTTCGGAGTAAACTTCAATTGCAGCAACTAATGCGCTTCTTGAAGGCAATGAAGATCACAGCAAAGTGTGATTTTGAGAGAAGTCGTCAGAATTAGAGCAGCCCTTTCTGACTTTTTATTCCCATATTAGCAGCTTGCAAAACTTGCCAAGTATCCTCGAATGTAATTAGATTAGCGTTTTAAAGTATTTGGAATCTACTCAAGATAGTACGTGCACTAAAAGTATCTTGAATACTACTTGAAATACATTTTCAAAGTGTATTTATTATGGGTTTTTTAATACTTTTGTTGAGTATTTGGCAGATCACTGCTTGAAATTGAGTTTTACAAGGAACTACAGATTTCTGCGAAACGCAAGCAATGGCACAGAATTTCAGAAATATTTGGAATAGCAAAGCTGTAAATATATTGGGTATTCAGACTAAACCCGCGAAAAACGAGATGTATTAAAGGGGTTATGAAACGATTTCGGGTTGAAGTGTTCATGCCGTTACAAAGGCGTACTGGCACAGCGAACCGCCGTTGACACAGAATATTTTTTTTTGTGGCGGTTGAATTGGGAGTGTAAAACAAAACTACTTATTTCAGTCTTGCTTTCGCAAAGCTTGATGACGTAATTATGGGATCGAAACTACCCGCCTGACGACGTTCGAACGCGGCTCATGGATTGGACATGAGTACTGCGTGAGCACTCGACTTTGGCTCGTAACAAAATACGCCTAGGCGTATTTTGTTACGCCTGCGTTTTGCAGGCGTAACAAAATACTCTGCCTACTCTGCCTGCTTTTTGGTTGTTGCAAACATTGGAATCGCTCAGATTACCAAATAATAATAATAAAAAAAAAACACATCACTGAGGCAAGGCGGCTATGCTGCACAGTTTGTTGCGATGTGCACACCCAGAAAGAAATTGGAGCAGCTGTTTCTCTCCATTGCCACATCAGCTGGTTTGGTGTCTAAATAAGGAAGAGGAAATAACGACTGGATATGTTGTCGCCATCTTTGTATCGAATAAGCAAATTAATTCGCCACACTCTGTACAGTCGCGAGACTAAAAAGAAACAAATGTGGCCAATTTCGTTTCTTTTTGTGTGTGTGTGTGTGTGGGGGGGGGGGGGGGGGCGTGGCGGGTGGCAACGTTGCACACAACTGTAGCCTGAAATGGGACGACATAAATGCCGAAGCTCCTTCTTAAATCGGCGGCTTCACGTAAAAATTTCAAATATTCATCAAATACGTGCTTCATTGGTGAATTCGACCATATGAAATTTCGAATTAGAGCTCCCCCAGGACTCCCAACCGTAAGCAGATTTCCCAGAGTAACGTAATATTCCTATCTATGTGGTATGTGGTACATGGCATATCTTGCTAGTTTGAAAGAAATTTGCGGCACCGTATGTATCTGGAATTTTATGGGTCAAGTATGATTTCACTACGAGATAACATCGACTTTTAGCGGCTTTGACTACATTTTGGCCATCTCCTCCAGACGTTTGGAGGTTTGTTGTGCGACCAGGTGGAAACACTGAGGAGCACTCAACAATGTTTTTCGGTAAAATCAATTTTCATTCATTTCTATCACCCCCGTGAAAGCTATGGAGGAAGGAATCAGTCAAGTGGAAGTGTCGGAGAGTGCCGCTATGCCGTCTCGAAAATGAAAGATTAAGTGGAAGACAAAATACTCGATAAAAGGTTAAAAAGTGCCAACAAACAGAAAACGAAGAATACACGCACGACAAGACAGGCGCTTCTAATCTAATCGTCATTTCAAAGTGCCACTCCCGAACCATTTCTTTTTGCCTGAAGAATAAGCTTGTGCCAAGAGAAGCCTTTTCGGAGTCATGAAACCGTCCTGGGAGCACACTGGATGTCTGCACGAGATCCTGAAATCACAATACTGGAGACAGAAAAGACTGCATTTGGTGTGGGTCCGTTTCATCGTGCAGGGAGGACAGGACGATTACCATGCCAAGCGCCATTTTGAAGATTACAAAGATTGGCTTTGCAAACAACGGAAGTCATCTAGCAACAGACGCGAATACGGCTTCCGCCAACAAATAGTAGTAACGGTTTTCATCAGTTCCATTTTGTTTAAAGGAAGAGAACGCCGCCTCGAAATGTTACACGGTGTAAAACGGACCTGCTCAGTGAACGATCGGTTATGATTATAATGCAATTAAATTCAAAGGTGCAAGCGAGCTGGACAAGAATGATGAAGCATAACCCCTGGAGAAGGGAAATCGGTGAAGGTTTGTGTTTTCTCTGACGGGTTTCTTCTGTGGTCGCGGAACGCGAATGCTGCAGTACCTCTTGGCCTATAGTACGATGATGACTGTACCATATAAGTAGCTTTTTTGATACTTTAATTTGTTCTGAAGGTGCCACGTTCTATTTGGAAAGGCGAACCCAAATAAAGTTGTTAACATCGCGATGGGTACCCAGCCAGTTGGAAACATATAAGGCAAATTGGTCATACACTATGTTTGCGTTGTGAGAAGCGAAAAGCAAATCCAAATAAACAGACTTTGTGGTGCTCGATCACCCGATGACTTCTCAGTTAATTGTGGATAGTCAGTATCTGCACCATCTGAGTCTTTTCGGCTTAGTGAGACTGTACTATCATGTAGCACATAACGCTGAGACTGGGCCCTAACTTTCTGATGAGTGAGGGCCATGCGTTTTATCATTATTTCTGCTGACACTCTTGCTAGCACAACAATTCTAATGAGAAATGGCTGTGTTAGCAGGATTCACCCAAACGTTGGGGAGGCGTAGGCGAAATGATTATGGCCACCAACGGCGCGTAGCCGCAAAACTTACTTGCTTCCGAAGGCATTGCAGTTAAGAACTTTACCACTAGAATCTTGAGATATTTCAACCAGTCTATGGCCTCCGTCTTGAACGTCTGTTATAATACGGTGACTGACACCTGGCACAGACCTGCATTCATAAAACATTCAAAATGACATGTTGAGGAAATCCTTCTGTTTGACGCGTTGTGCTTCTCCGTGAAAATTTGAAGTTGTGTTATTTTATTTCGATCATATCATTCACTTTTAATAAAAAGAAAGGTAATTAGACAGACCGAAAAATTACTTACTAAAACTTGGTGACAAAGTGCAGAAATTACTTAACGTTTTTTTTTCTTAAATAGAAATGAGAATCAATTTATTGAGTAATCTTCAATCCGCCTGACGTTTTGGTCTGATTAATTTAAGCGTTAAATAGAACATCCTAAATACAATGTAGTGAGAACAAAGTAACGTTGATTTGCTGGGTGCCTAATTCAAAGTTCGGACGTTACTCGTTGCCTTCCTTGAATCAAGTCAAATCAAATCAAATTCATTAGACAGGAATAAAAAAGTGTACTATTTTTACGACAACGTACGTTCTGGCAAACTCCTCAATGAAGTTGAAGCTTCGTGCTTTTCGTATGAGCTTCTGTTCCAATCCATGGGCTTCATGGTTTAGAAGATTCATCATATTCGTGTTCATGATCAGCGTAACCCAGAGGTACAAATATTTAGAAAACATTGTCCCTAAAAAGGTGTAGACTATTTCTGAAAATGCACACCATCAGAAATGTAAATGTGCAGGCAACATTGCAGTTACTAGAATGTACTGGCTTACTAGGAACTCAGGTTTCAACTAATTTCTGGAAAAATTAAAAACAAAACACACAAGGAAACACACACAAACGATTTGTTTTGTTCGTTCTTTATTCCACTCTCTAGGGTTGAAGCAAAGAAATCATTCAAAAGATTTTTTTTTATTTTATTGCTGCCAGTAATGTCGTCGAGACCTATTATTTTTATTCAAAGGACTTAATTTTACGGCCACTAAGAAGAGGTAGTATGACATTGTATAATTAGAAAGTTAACTGGCTTAAATACCATCACAACTGAAGCGTTCCTGCTTAAGGGTTAACATTGCATATTTAAAAGTAAACTGAGTTTCTGGTGAAACGGCACACATCCGGAGGGGCATTGCGGCTTACGCGTGGCAGTTATTGCAATTTTCCTGTTATCAAAAGACACATGTGGCAGCCTCAGGGTGGCTGCAACAACAGCAGAAGTGCGCGGTTTCGGGCAGCACACACTAGGATCATGAACTCCCACGGTAGACGGTATTGCATTTCCTCTCCTCAAACAGACCAATCTGTGCTCCTACCTCTAGAATTACAAAGCCCAAATAAAATGTTGGCTAATATATGTATACACTGCGGTGGGACCCTCCGTGTAAGCAAGATTAGTTTCCCATTGGAAGAAATAGTGCACACTTATAGTTCTACTATATCGCCATGCATGCAACTATGGGTCGCGACAAAATCAACGGGTGGTCGCGAGAAGGCTTGGAAACTTAAAAATGTGAAAACTCGTTTTTTTTTTTTGCGGTAGAATTGTTGAAATGTGGCGGTGCAGCATCGAGCAGGAACATAAAGGGTCGGTGCCCAAACTCCGCCATATTTTCGCGAAACTGCGCTCTAACAAAAAAGCCCACTCTAGAACAGTTATTCCCGGTGGCATTTGTTTTTTTTGTTTTGATAATTTCGTGCTCAGCAGAAGGATAACTGTGAAATAAGATATTAGGGCAAATTTTGTGCATTACGGGGAATAAACTGAAATTGAATGCAAAACTTTGCGGCACAGGGAAATCTGGGGGGGGGGGGGGGGGGTAAAATATCGCTCCAGAATACTTTAACATTTTAGGGATGGCAGGATAGCAGAGTTTTACCAGAATCGGCTTCCAAAACAGCTGAAAAAAAACGATTTGGTATGAATGAACCTTTGACGATCATGCTGTCTTGATCTCAAAATGGGGTATGCGTTTTTGTCACCAAAACTGCGGGACCGTTGGGGCGCAATGGCCATGAAGTTTGAGGTTTTTTCTTTTTGTTGTCTGAGCCTGAGAAAAAGCACACCACTGATTGCTATTAACGGTGAATAGGGCAGCAGTACAAATTCAATAACTTTGAGAAGTTTTCTGCAGGAAAGCGGCTTCCCCGGGGGCATTTGTGTTAAAAGGCGCCATTGTACATTACCGTTATTTTTCACATTGGGAGAAGTGCACGAGTGCTCTTGTTAAAGCAGGCGGAACTACGTTGAATTACAAAGAAATTAGAGATTTAGGTACATTTGGTAGTCTTGTGCGTTAATGTTAAACGAGAATGAGCAGCTGATGGGTGGCAAGTTCACTAATCTTTGGCTTTTGCCGGTTTTGAAAGCGATAAATTTCAAGAGTGGCAGTCATCGGGATATCTAGGAAATAATTTTTTTTTTCTTGTATATTTTTGTTATATCTCGATTGTTTTCAAACAGACGCTCTGGTTATAAATTCAAAGGCGTAAGGCAGGAACGTAGCAATTTAAACCAGGCTAAGGTACTACAACCATTGTAATTGAAAAAGAACTTTTAAACCGCTCTTGCTAGCAAAAAAAAAAAAAAAAAAAAAACTTGTCTTAAAGAGGTAAGTTTTTAAGCAAGTCCCCTTTCAATCTCAAAAGTCAGTTCTTTTCTTTCTATTACCTTACCTTTCTATAGATCGTGATAATTTGTCCTTGTCTGGAAAAAAAGAGGAAGCAGAATATTTATATTGCGCAGCGTGCACCCAAATGTACATACGAACAGTTGAAATTTTCATATAAAGTGCACCAATATTAGGTAGTTTTATTATGTTCGTGTGGCCTTTCGCATGTGAGACATTCGATGTAGCCTGTCCTTTTCTGCGTAATTCGTCTTCTGTGGCGCCGGCATTTAGCGTGGACTTGCTAATCACTGCGGATATAAGGGCCACCAGAGTCCTTATATCCGCCCTAAAGAATACCTGTCACCATCAAATCGAGCGAAGTTTTAAAACTCAGGTTTTGAGACTACAGGAAGCTGGGTATCCAAAATCGCTTCTGGTAGCGATTTGCGAGCAGGCGTGCAGGACCATCAATCGCGGATTAGGTTGCACGAATAAAAGCACAAAGGAAAGGAAAAAGACTGGACATGCGGTGGTGGTAGCACCCTATGTTCACGGAATGACCCACAGGTTGAAAAAGGTTGCTGGACGGCAAGGCGTTCAGGTGGTGTGTTCGGCTCCAAACAACGCCCATTCTATGGGCCGCAGAATTAACCAGGAGGAAGTAACAACGAGAGGAAGTGTGGCACAGTTCGCAAGTCTCCATACGCCCTGTGTGAAAAGGAGCTAGTGTACTACATTCCGCTGGCATGCGGCCGAAGTTACATCGGACAAACCGACCGATGCATTAACGATCGGACGAGGGAGCACGCTGCATCAGTGACAACTCTGTCAGCAGGAGGACACTTGCCAATCCATTGTCGTGCGTGTCAATGTTCGGCACTGTTCTACGACGTAAACATCGTGGCAAGGAACAAGACAAAACTGGGGCGTGAAATCCTAGAGGCACTTGCCATTGAGGAAAGAGGCGACGACTGCATTAGTGCACCTTCTCTCGTGCTGCACGAGAAAGAAAAAAGATTTCTTCGGGGGTAAACATTTTAAGGGGAATTTCAAGGAGAAAAAAATTCAATGTGAATTTGAAAGCAAAGAAGAGGAAAAGAGAATTGTTCCCTCAAGTGTGGCTCGTAGTAAAGAGGAGAAAAAGAAAATCAGTTGCTACTCCAGCGGTGTGAATGGTCTTTTCTTTATGTGTATGTTTTTTTCTAGTTCAGCTGGCCTTAAGTGAAAAGTATGCCTTAGTTATAAAATCTGTTGTCTGCCCTTGAACACTATCGGGTTTCAAAATGACGAGCTTATTTATTTGGACGACGGTGAACTCAGCTAAAAGAGTCACGCCAACAGTAAATTTGCTTGTACCTAATAACGTGCTTTACTGAAAGGGAATAAAAAATGAAGGACGTTTACAATTTTCTGTAATGCCAAATTTGAGTGCAGCTCTTGGGGAGGAGAAGGGGAGGGTACAGAAGGGAGGGTATGCCACTCCTCCCTCTCTGTACCTTGCCTTCCTCCTCTCCTGCTTCCCTCCCATTTAGCGGGAAACGTTCGCTTAATTTTCCGCTAAATATAGTGCAAACTTTCCCCGCTATATTTAGCGGGGAAGCCTTTCCACTAAATTTAGCGGGATGTTTCCCTAAATGACGTCAAAAGTGACGCCACGTGCGACGTCACGAGGGTAAGCTTTCCCGCTAAATTTTGCGAAAAATTTCACCGCTAACCTTAGCAGACCATTTTCCCTCCTATGTTTAGCGTAATTATTTACCCGCTAAATTTAGCAGAAACATTTCCCACCAATTTTAGCGGAAATATTTTCCCGCCAGAATAGAGCAACAAACTTTCCCGCCACATTTTGCGGAAAAATTTTACCATCGTGACGTGATTTTGGGGAACGTCCCATAAGGCGTCCGTTTCCGGGGAACGCCAACGCCGCTCAACCCGGAAACGGGCGCCTTAGAGCTGCGCTCTAATGTACAGGGTATCACAAAAATATTTACAGGGTTGTTTCACAGGCAAAAATAAACTAGACATCGCCGACGAACGCTCATTCTCCTCCCGAAGGTAGCGCTAGAGGTCACAACCAGATGCCAAAGTTTCAGCCCGATCCAATGACTTTATCAGAAGTTATGAGTGATTTTCTGAAAATTTCAATTGGAAAATTCAATCCACTTTTGCCTGTTTTCGGTTTCTGGCGCCATACAGCCCCATGTAGCCGAATACTTCGTCGGCCACCATTTTCCCATTAAAAGGTTTGTAAAATCATTTATAACTTTTGATTAAGTTATCGGATGAGGCTGAAACTTAAGCATCTGGTTGTCACCTCTACCGCTACCTTTGGGCGGAGAATGAGCGTTCAGCGATGCCTATTTTCTGTTTGTGGTAAAAACAAAAAGCTGTAAATTTTTTCGTTGACACCCTGTGTATTCTGTGTATTCTGAAACTGAACCTCGAGTCACTTTGGGTAAAGGTGTACTTACCCCCAACATTATGGTGAAGTTCAAAATGAGTACATCAACCTACGCTGTCTCACGCCCGCCTTCGAAAGAATTTCAGACACGGATAATATGCACTCTGAGAAGCTAAGAACCTTGTTACAAACAGCACATTTCCACCGTCTCCTCCAACACGGCGAACACGTGGCGTCCGCAAAGTAAAAATAAAAATACCATATTCCGCAGGCTCGAGGTGAAACAAACAGGGACACACGAGAGAAAATGCAACTTGGTTTTTTGTTCAGTGGGTTTTTGAAACATGATTTCTGTTTCATTTTCATTCGTCGCGTTGTGCCGTATCCTGTGTGGAGAACATTTTCCTTGCAGCTGAAGAGAAAGCATTTCGCGTGTGCCATATTTTAGAATTGTGGATCCACTGGAGTATCTTATTTTTACCAGAATACTTCAAAGCGCCATTCCCACTATATCAAAACATTTGCCAATCGTTATTAGACAACCACGTACAATCAGTGAGTTTTGCTGTCCATTACGGCCTTCGAAGCTCATATAGTTTAGTAAATGTCCATCGCTTGTAATCTGTAAAGCCTGTTGCACCGAGCATTTTCGAGCTGTGCTACCCGT